AGGGGAGAGGGGAGAGGGGACCTCACAACACTCCCCCCATCCCACACACAGTTCTCAAGCTACCTCTCCTATATTTCCTACCCGATTTTGACTGCAAAACAAGTTAATGTATTGAGGCATTATTCAGTAAGATTTTTGTGCTTTGTGTTGATACATATTTTTGAAGAGGCCAGTCCAAATATCACTTTCGGAATTTCCACAGCAAAATACAACATCAGTGATGACAGCAGACCAAAAGAGAAATACTTTCCTACTCACAAGAGTGACTCCGTCAAAAGTAAAGTTTACAATAGAAGTAAAGCAATCCTTACAAGAGGCTTCTTGTTTCCAATTTCAGTTTATATACTGGCAATGAATCTAGAGCCAACAGAAGACAAAAGTAATGCTAGCTGTTGTATTTCACTCAATTTTGAGAGCACTGCATATATTTTTAGGCATCTGGAAACAACAGGATTCCACAGAGTGCTAGCAGAGGTTCTCTGTACTTTTTTCATATAAAACCTTGCTTCTGAACCAGGATAGAGAAGTCAGAGGAGCACAAAGAAGGAAGCTGAGAAGAAACAAATTTGCCAATCTATAGAAGATGGAAGAAAGCAGCAATATTCCCTCAGTCCCTTCTTAAGAGCTTGGACACCTTGTGCTACAAGCCAGTAGTGCTTCTAGTGCTTCGGCAACACTGTTTTTGAACTCCTACTTGAGAAAATACTCACTGAGATTAAACAAATATATAAGCATCTTGTACAACCTACTGCAACTAGAAGAACTAAAAAAAAACACAACTCCAAAACCAAGAACAAGCCTTTGAACATTTTCCAGCACTAAATAAAACAGAAAACTGTTGGTCAACAGTTTTGGGAGGGCACAGCTATGGGAAACATTTGGTCTAAAAAGATATCATTCTGAAAGAACAGGGTTTGATTGTCAAAAACACAAACTGAAGCTAACTGGAATTGGAGCCAAGGACAGACAGAATGCCTAAAACTTTATATTTAAGGAGGGAAAGGGGGAGAGAGAGGAAAAAAAAAAAAAAAAAAGCATCTAAGAGACCTAAGAGATCACAAGTTTACAAGATGCTTGGGTAATGATTGATTCTGGAAAGGCTTCAATCTATAAAAGCATAACAGCACCTTGATTTCCAGCCACTGGTGATTTATACTGCTTTTATTATTACACAGAATGAGTTTTAAAAGTGCAAGAGAGCTCTGGGAAAACTCAACTTTAAGCATTTAAGTATTTAAAATACTTTTCAAAGTTACATGTGTGTAAGTAAGGAAAATTAATTCTTACTAGTTTTCTAACAATTTCCATTTGAAGCAGAATAGTACTACAAAAAACTACTGTTTAATTGTTTTTACCGCAATCATTTCCTAGAATAACTTAGCAGGATATGTAGCACATGAACTGAAAAATCCAGGATCAAAAAAAAACTCCTGTGCTCCAGAACTTTTTGGGGTACTTGGTATATCAAGTGTCCAAAATATGGGCACTTAAATATTTCTATGAAATATCTAATTGAAGGAAATCTCAGATGCATTGGAAAAAATGTTCACCTTTCCTTTTAGAATTCAGTAAGAAATAAATCCTGGCTATTTCTCATGATTCTTCTATAAAATCCTAGCAGTTTCAAACAGCTTTTGTCAACTATTCCTGATCAAAGGGTGCTTTAATCTTTTGTCATCAGCTACTCCTGATCAGGGAGCTCTCATTCAGTTGGTGTGAGGGAAAGACCTACAGAACCACCAGGGCTAGACCCAGCCAACGCAAAGGGGCCAGGAGCTTTGGCACAGCTCTGGTGCAAGTGCTCATCAATGGTGGTAACAAGACACAGGCTAACATCCCCAACACCATCTGGAGAAACTACCACTAGCACATCACAGGGCTCCACAAGGAGCAGGCTCCAAAGGGAGGATGCCGCTCTCCAGGTCTCGGGCTACCTGGAATACCTGGTACCTTCTCCCCAGGGCTGGGACAAATAGAAGTGACACCCGTGCTTAAAGGAGGTGCACACTGCTATGCCACTAAGTTGAGGAGCTGCAGGAAGGGGCTGGTAGACTGTGCAGTGCTAGGAAAATTAAAGAGATTGATGGCACCACCTCTAAGACCGATCTTGAGGAGATCAGATTCTGAACACCCATCTGCACAGGAATAGGGGCAACTGGTATCTGTGGCCACTGGAGAGGAAAAGCAGATGAAATGAGAAAGGCTGGAGGCTCCTTCTCCACATGCAGATCTTCAGCTGAAAATAGGCCAGTGTGGCAGAAAAAGAGAGAGCAGCTCTGATAAGCCTCGGCAGCAATGAGAGCCTGACCCACGTATCCACACCAAGAGGAAGCAGGCAGGAATAATGGTGGGAGACTCCTTCCTACAGGTGTTAAGTGCCCCCTCCCCCACCTCATTGCCAACCTCACTATCTAGAGAAGTTTGCTGCTTGCCAGGGTGTTGTAGAGAGACTGCCAACACTCACCTGGCACCCTACTGCTCAACCACATGGCACAAACGATACAGCTGGAGGGAGAAAACCCCCATGGCTCTGGAGCAAAAGGCAAGGACACAGAGGCTGAGATGGCTCATCTCAATTCTGCAGCTCAAAAATTATTTACACAGTTGGTGTGACAACAGGATAGCCACAGCAGCCTCCTTGAGGATCAAGACTGATTCTCAGGCACGATAGGCTCCACCTGACAGAGGGGCAAAAGCATCTTCATGCTGGCCAACCTAATGAGCTTCAAACTACAAAGAACAGCAGGGGAGTGAATAACTACCCACAGTCAAGTGGGAATGCAGTGGACATGAGCAGAGTGTAAGAATAAGGGCTACAAGTGAGACCTAAGATAACGAAACAGGGCACGGACATAAATTCATAAATGCATACAGCCTGGGAAATAGGAGGAACCAGAGCTCTGCATGCAGCTACCTAACTTGGACACTGGATGTAACTGAGATGCGGTGAGGCTGCTTGCACAACTGCAGCACTGTGACAGATACATACAAGCTGCTCAGGAAACACAGGCTGGGAAGATAAGGGGAGAGGTTTTCCCTCTACATGAAGGAGCAATACCTGAAGCTCTTCTGTGGGACAGAAAACAGGCCAGTGAAGAGCCTGAGGGTCAGGATCAGTGGAGTGACAAGAAAGGGCAACGCCATGGCAGGAGTTTGTTACCAACTACCTCATCAGTAAAGTGGTGGATGAAGCCTTCTTTAAACAGCTCAAAAAAATACCTGCGTCACAGACTCTGGGGCCTTTAACCTCTGACACCTGTTGAAACAACAACATGGAGAGACACAAGTACTCAAGATTGTTTGATGCCTGTACTGAACAGGTCAATCTGTTGACAAATGGTTGAATCTGCTACACATTAACAAGAAGAAACTAGCTGGGGATGTGATAGTGACAGTGTTGGCTGTAGTGACTGTGAAATAGCAGAGTTCATGATCTTAAAGACAGTGATAAAGATGACAAACAGAGTGCAAACCCTGGAATTCACTTGCTACTTCCTCCTGGTGCCCCTGTATGGTTCAAGCTCACCTGGCTCTGATGCTTTGCTGGAAAGAGCTTTTAGACCCAGGTAACTGATCCAATTATGTAGCTGAAGACCCATGAGCCTTCCTCCTGCTG